TAAAGGGAATCTAGCGGTCTCACTCGATCAGAAGGTGGGAAATATATAAATCTAGTGAGCTAATAAGGTTCGAAAGGAATCTAATGCATATGTATATGGAAAATGGTGCATTGGCCAGGTCGGTCAGTATGGGAACTTAGAGTGCAAATGCCAGGGAGAACGGAAGCGCTCAGATCTCGCATAGTACACAGGAATCTAGTGGTCTCACTCAAATAGAAGGTAGGAAATAAATTCATCTAGTGAACGTAAGGGTTTGAAAGGTAACTAACGCACATGTGTAGAGAAAATGGTGCATCGGCCAGTCTGGCCGGCATTTCGCACTTATAGTGCAAGTAGGGCCAAGGAGAACGGAAACGCTCATTTCTCAAAAAGTAAGGGAATCTAGCGGTCTCACTCGATCAGAAGGTGGGAAATATATAAATCTAGTGAGCTAATAAGGTTCGGAAGGAATCTAATGCCATATGTATATGGAAAGTGGTGCATTGGCCAGGTCGGTCAGTATGGGAACTTAGAGTGCAAATGCCAGGGAGAACGGAAGCGCTCAGATCTCGCACTAGTACACGGAATCTAGTGGTCTCACTCAAATAGAAGGTAGGAAATAATCTCATCTAGTGAACGTAAGGGTTTTGAAAGGTAACTAACGCACATGTGTAGAGAAAATGGTGCATCGGCCAGTCTGGCCGGCATTTCGCACTTATAGTGCAAGTAGGGCCAAGGAGAACGGAAACGCTCATTTCTCAAAAAGTAAAGGGAATCTAGCGGTCTCACTCGATCAGAAGGTGGGAAATATATAAATCTAGTGAGCTAATAAGGTTCGAAAGGAATCTAATGCATATGTATATGGAAAATGGTGCATTGGCCAGGTCGGTCAGTATAGGAACTTAGAGTGCAAATGCCAGGGAGAACGGAAGCGCTCAGATCTCGCATAGTACACGCAATCTAGTGGTCTCACTCAAATAGAAGGTAGGAAATTAATTCATCTAGTGAACGTAAGGGTTTGAAAGGTAACTAACGCACATGTGTAGAGAAAATGGTGCATCGGCCAGTCTGGCCGGCATTTCGCACTTATAGTGCAAGTAGGGCCAAGGAGAACGGAAACAGCTCATTTCTCAAAAGGTAAAGAGGAATCTAGCGGTCTCACTCGATCAAAAGGTGGGAAATATATAAATCTAGTGAGCTAATAAGGTTCGAAAGGAATCTAATGCATATATATATGGAAAATGGTGCATTGGCCAGGTCGGTCAGTATGGGAACTTAGAGTGCAAATGCCAGGGAGAACGGAAGCGCTCAGATCTCGCATAGTACATGGAATCTAGTGGTCTCACTCAAATAGAAGGTAGGAAATAAATTCATCTAGTGAACGTAAGGGTTTGAAAGGTAACTAACGCACATGTGTAGAGAAAATGGTGCATCGGCCAGTCTGGCTGGCATTTCGCACTCATAGTGCAAGTAGGGCCAAGGAGAACGGAAACGCTCGTTTCTCAAAAAGTAAAGGGAATCTAGCGGTCTCACTCGATCAGAAGGTGGGAAATATATAAATCTAGTGAGCTAATAAGGTTCGAAAGGAATCTAATGCATATGTATATGGAAAATGGTGCATTGGCCAGGTCGGTCAGTATGGGAACTTAGAGTGCAAATGCCAGGGAGAACGGAAGCGCTCAGATCTCGCATAGTACACAGAATCTAGTGGTCTCACTCAAATAGAAGGTAGGAAATAAATTCATCTAGTGAACGTAAGTGTTTGAAAGGTAACTAATGCACATGTGTAGAGAAAATGGTGCATCGGCCAGTCTGGCCGGCATTTCGCACTTATAGTGCAAGTAGGGCCAAGGAGAACGGAAACGCTCATTTCTCAAAAAGTAAGGGAATCTAGCGGTCTCACTCGATCAGAAGGTGGGAAATATATAAATCTAGTGAGCTAATAAGGTTCGAAGGAATCTAATGCATATGTATATGGAAAGTGGTGCATTGGCCAGGTCGGTCAGTATGGGAACTTAGAGTGCAAATGCCTGGGAGAACGGAAGCGCTCAGATCTCGCATAATACACGGAATCTAGTGGTCTCACTCAAATATAAGGTAGGAAATATATTCATCTAGTGAACGTAAGGGTTTGAAAGGTAACTAACGCACATGTGTAGAGAAAATGGTGCATCGGCCAGTCTGGCCGGCATTTCGCACTTCATAGTGCAGGTGGGGCCAGGGAGAACGGAAACGCTCAGTTTCTCAAAAAGTCAGAGGAATCTAACGGTCTCACTCGATCAGAAGGTGGGAAATATATAAATCTAGTCAGCTAATAAGGTTTGAAAGGTATTCTAATGCACTATGTATAGAGAAAATGGTGCATTGGCTAGGTCGGTCAGTATCGGAACTTAAAATGCAAATGCCAGGGAGAACGGAAGTGCTCAGAACTTCGCATAGTACACGGAATCAAGTGGTCTCACTCAAATAGAAAGTAGGAAATATATTCATCTAATGAACGTAAGGGTTTGAAAGGAAACTAACGCACATGTGTAGAGAAAATGGTGCATCGGCCAGTCTGGCCGGCATTTCGCACTTATAGTGCAAGTAGGGCCAAGGAGAACGGAAACACTCATTTCTCAAAAAGTAAAGGGAATCTAGCGGTCTCACTCGATCAGAAGGTGGGAAATATATTAATCTAGTGAGCTAATAAAGTTCGAAAGGAATCTAATGCATATATATGGAAAATGGTGCATTGGCCAGGTCGGTCAGTAGGGGAACTTAGAGTGCAAATGCCAGGGAGAACGGAAGCGCTCAGATCTCGCATAGTACACGGAATCTAGTGGTCTCACTCAAATAGAAGGTAGGAAATAAATTCGTATAGTGAACGTAAGGGTTTGAAACGGTAACTAACGCACATGTGTAGAGAAAATGGTGCATCGGCCAGTCTGGCCGGCATTTCGCACTTATAGTGCAAGTAGGGCCAAGGAGAACGGAAACGCTCATTTCTCAAAACGTGAAGGGAATCTAGCGGTCTCACTCGATCAGAAGGTGGGAAATATATAAATCTAGTGAGCTAATAAGGTTCGAAAGGAATCTAATGCATATGTATATGGAAAATGGTGCATTGGCCAGGTCGGTCAGTATGGGAACTTAAATGAAAATGCTAGGGAGAACGGAAGCGCTCAGATCTCGCATAGTACACGGAATCTAGTGATCTCACTCAAATAGAAGGTAGGAAATAAATTCATCTAGTGAACGTAAGGGTTTGAAAGGTAACTAATGCACATGTGTAGAGAAAATGGTGCATCGGCCAGTTTGGCCGGCATTTCGCACTTATAGTGCAACTAGGGCCAAGGAGAACGGAAACGCTCATTTCTCAAAAAGTAGAGGGAATCTAGCGGTCTCACTCAATCAGAATGTGGGAAATATATAAATCTAGTGAGCTAATAAGGTTCGAAAGGAATCTAATGCATATGTATATGGAAAATGGTGCATTGGCTAGGTCGGTCAGTATGGGAACTTAAAGTGCAAATGCCAGGGAGAACGGAAGCGCTCAGATCTCGCATAGTCCACAGAATCTAGTGGTCTCACTCAAATAGAAAGTAGGAAATAAATTCATCTAGTGAACGTAAGGGTTTGAGAGATAACTAACGCACATGTGTAGAGAAAATGGTGCATCGGCCATTCTGGCTGGCATTTCGCACTTATAGTGCAAGTAGGGCCAAGGAGAACGGAAACGCTCATTTCTCAAAACTAAAGGGAATCTAGCGGTCTCACTTGATCAGAAGGTGGGAAATATATAAATCTAGTAAGCTAATAAGGTTCGAAAGGAATCTAATGTCAGATTATCATAGCTGATGCATGTTTGTAGGCTATAGTGGGGTAGCACATATGGGGTACAGTTTTCTAGGGTTGTATTTGTACCCAACTCTGACTTAGTCATTTCATTCCTGTTCTCTTTTCTCACATGGTATAGAGCGAGTCCTTCCTAAGGACCGTTTTTTTTTAGGGCCCACCGAAGCGCGCCCCGAGGCGCGCATTTTTTTTCGCGACCCTTCGGGTCGCCATTGCTCTCGCGGCCCCGCTGTCCCTCTGACGCGGCCCCGCCACCCCTGCTTGACGCGGCCCCGCCGCCTCCTCTGCAGCGGCCCCGGCGCCTCCTCTGACGCGGCCCCGCCGCCCGCTAATCGCGGCCCCCGCCACCGGCTCTGACGCGGCCCCGCCGCCGGCTCTGACGCGGCCCCGCCGCCCGCTGATCGCGGCCCGCCGCCGGCCCTGACGCGTCCCCGCCTTCGGCTCTGACGCGGCCCCACCGCCGGCTCTTAGCCGGCCTCGCCGCCGGCTCCAACGCGGCCCCGCCGCCCGCCTCGACGAGGCCCCGCCGCCGGCTCTGACGCGGCCCCGTCGCCGCCTCCTGATCGCGGCCCCGCCCCGGCTCTCTCGCGGCCTCGCTGCCGGCCCTGACGCGGCCCCGCCGCCGGCTCTCTTGCGGCCCCGCCACCGGCTCTCTTGCGGCCCCGCCCCGGCTCTCTTACGGCCCCTGCTGCCAGCCCTAACGCGGCCCCTGCCTCGGCTCTCTTGCGGCCCTGCCGCCAGCTCTGAAGCGGCCCCGCCCCGGCTCTCACGCGGCCCCTGCCCCGGCTCTCACGCGGCCCTGCCGCCGGCTCTGACGCGGCCCCGCCCCGGTTCTTTCACGCGGCCCTGCCGCCCCATCTGCAGCAGTCGGGCAGCCGTGCAGCCGAGCCGCCCGGGAGCCGAGCCGCCCTACGCTCGAGCCGCCCTGTCGCCGAGCCGCCCGGGAGCCGAGCCGCCCTGCCCCCGAGCCGCCCTGCCGCCGAGCCGCCCGGGAGCCGAGCCGCCCTGCACCCGAGCCGCCCTGCCGCCGAGCCGCCCGGGAGCCGAGCCGCTGTGCACCCGAGCCGCCCGGTCGCCGAGCCGCCTTTCTGCTGAGCTGCACGACCTGCCCTGCCTGGTGAGCACAGTCCCACTGTCACTGCGAGCTCTTTCCCTACTGCTTGCACTGCGTCGCTGTCGTCGCCATGGCTACCCCTAGTGTCCTAGCTTTTGACGCTGAGGGTCGCGCCATTGATTTTGAGGTCTGGTTAGACGACCTGCAGCTGTTCTTACAGTGCGACAGGGCTGACGGCCTTTCTCTCTTTGACCTCACCCCTGGCGCCTCTCCTGCTCCTGCTGCTGATGCTGATCCCACTGTCCGCTCTCAGTGGGCCACCCGCGATGCTGCTGCACGTCTTGCTGTGCGTCGCCACCTCCCTACCTCTGAGCGTGCGCACTTTAGTCAGTACAAGAGTGCTCAGACCTTGTACGACGCTGTAGTTGCGCGCTACTCCTCCCCTGCCACTGCTGCACTGAGCCGTCTCATGCTTCGCTACCTCTTTCCTGACCTCTCTGCCTTTCCCACTGTCGCTGACCTCATTACGCACCTCCGCACTAGTGACACTCGCTACCGCGCCGCCCTTCCTGCTGAGTTCTGCGCTAAGAACCCACCCCCCATGTACATCGCTCTCTACTACGTAGTCGCGCGCCTCCCTGACTCCCTTCGCGTCGTCAGGGACCACTTTCTCGCAGTCTGTCCCACCACCCTCACCGTCGACCTCCTCGAGAAGGCCCTCCTCGCAGCGGAGAAGAGCATAGTCGCTGTAGGTGCTTCTCGTGGTGACCCTCGCACCCCCATCTTTGAGGGGTGCTCTCCTTCCCCCTTGCTGCCCTCTGTTGCCTCTGCTGCTGCTGCCGACCTGCTTGGTCTTGAGTCGGTCGGCGCGGCGTCTGCCCGTAGTGGGAGACGTCGCTCCAGCAAGGGCAAGGGGGGCAAGGGCGCGGGTGGAGCTGGAGGGGGCGGTGGCGGTGGCGGCGGTGGCGGCGGAGGGAGTGGGGGTGGCGGCGGGACTAGTGGCGGGGGTGGTGGTGGTGGTGGCAGCAGCGGCGGAGACGGTGGTGGTGGTGCCAACGGTGGTGGTGGAGGCAGCGGCGGAGGTGGAGGCGGCGGAGGTGGAGGCGGTGGAGGCGGCAGCGGAGGAGGCGGTGGTGGTGGAGGAGGTGGAGCTGGTCGGGGTGGTACCCAGCAGCGTAGCGGCGGTGGTGGTGGCCAGCGCTCGCAGCGGCAGCAGCAGCAGCGCTCGCGGGACATCCCTCCGCCTCAGCAGCTTCGTGAGTGGTACGCTGGGCGTCAGAGGGGTGGGGGTACTGGTCCCTGCACCTATGTTCTTCGTTCCGGCGACCGCGCGGGTGAGCAGTGTGGGGGTGCCCACGCCGCCTAGCGCTGCTTTGGCCGCCTGACGGACGCTTGGCGTCAGCAGTTCCCTGGGGCTACTGAGATCCCTCGCTGGGATGAGCTTCTTAGGGCTGGTGTAGCGATCTTGATTTTGATGCTATCCTTGCTGCTATGTATGCTGTGACTTATAGTGAGGAGAATGAGGGTTACCGGTGTTTCCAGCCCGACCCGGACATTGGTACTGCTGCGCTAGGTGCTTGTGAGGCTGCTGCTCTAGGTGCCAGTGCGTCTGCGCTCTCAAGGTACTGGTGAGACTGCGCTCTCAGGATACTGCGTCGTCCTCGTCCTCCCTCACTTTCACACTTGACTCCGGGGCTTCTCGCTCCTTCTTTCGAGACCGCACTACCCTTACGCCGCTCGGCCGGCCGGTTGCAGTCTCCCTTGCTGACCCCTCTGGGGGTCCTGTCCTGTCTCACTTCTCCACTGTCCTCCCGTGTCCTGGCTGCCCCTTCGGGCACCCTGTCTGGTCTGTACCTTCCCTCGTTCTCTACGAACTTGGTGAGTGGCGCGGACCTGCAGGATGTGGGGGTTCACCAGTTCACTCCTGCGAGTCAGCGGGTGACCCACTGCACGGAGGCACGCACAGGCCGACACCTGGCCACGTTCTCGCGTCGGCCGGGGTCGAGTCTCTACACCCTGACCGTTGAGTCTCCTCCTGTCCCTGCGTCTGGTCAGGTGGCTGCGTCAGGTCAGGTGTTTGCTGCTGCGTCCCGGTCAGGTCCTGAGTCTGCCCCCTGTTCTTGTCGCCTCCTGTCTCACGAGACTCTCCTGTGGCACCACCGTCTTGGCCACCCCTCCTTGCCCCGTCTTCGGAGCATGGCTTCCCGTGTCCTTGTCTCTGGTCCTTCCCCAGTCTCTCCCTCCTCTCCCCTCCGGGCCAGGACCTTCCTGTGTCCCCTGTGTCGAGGGTCGCCTCCGGGCTACTCCTCACTCCTCCCACTTCCCCCCGACAGAGGCTCCCCTGCAGACGCTTCACATGGATGTGTGGGGCCCAGCCCCCGTCCGTGGGCAGGGTCACGAGCGCTACTTCCTGTTGGTGGTTGACGACTACTCGCGTTACACCACAGTCCTCCCCTTGCGCAGCAAGGGTGCGGTCACTGAGGTGCTGATCGACTGGATCCGCGAGGCTCGTCTCCAGCTCAGGAAGAGCTTCGGCTCGGACTTTCCCTGTTCTGCGTCTGCACTCGGACAGAGGCGGAGAGTTCTCTTCTCGCCTTCTGCGAGACTACTGTCGTGCACGGGGGATCCGCCAGACCTTCACGCTTCCGGACTCACCACAGCAAAATGGGATTGCTGAGCGCCGCATTGGCATGGTCATGGATGTCGCTCGTACGTCCATGATGCATGCGGCTGCCCCCCATTTTCTGTGGCCGTTTGCGGTGAGGTACGCGGCGCATCAGCTCAACCTTCACCCCCGGGTCTCTCGGCCTGCGATGTCCCCAGCCTTGCTGTGGACGGGGAAGGTTGGCGATGCGTCTGTGTTCCGTGTCTGGGGATCTCGGGCGTTTGTCCGCGACTTGTCTGCGGACAAGCTGTCCCCTCGTGCTGCTCCCTGTGTCTTCCTTGGCTTCCCCACTGACGCCCCAGGGTGGCAGTTTTACCACCCCTCCTCTCGTCGTGTTCTGTCCTCCCAGGACGTCACGTTCGACGAGTCAGTCCCCTTCTACCGTCTCTTCCCCTACCGCACTCCTTCCCTCCCCCCTCCCCCGGACTTCCTTGTGCCGGTTCCCCCCCCGGTAGACCCCCTCCCCCCTCAGGTTCCTGCCCCCTCAGGTGTGTCCCAGGTAGACGCCGTTGACCCGGTCGAGGTTACTAGGTGACTCTGGTGCTGCTGCGGGTGCTGAGCTTGGGGGTGCTGACTCTGGGGGTGCTGTGCGCGGGGGTGCTGAGCCTGGGGGTGCTACTGATGGGGGTGCTGGGCCTGAGGGTGCTACTGCGGAGGGTGCGGAGCCTGGGGGTGCTGAGCCGGGGGGTGCTGTGCCTGGAGGTGCTGGGTCTGGGGGTGCTGGGTCGGGAGCTGCTGAGCCTGGGGGTGCTGAGCTGGGAGCTGCTGAGCCTGGGGGTGCTGCGTCTGGAGCTGCTGAGCCTGGGGTTTCTCCTGCTGCTGCGTCTCGCCGGGAGCCCCTCTCTCCACAGGAGCTGCGCGAGTGGTTCGCTCGCCGCTGGAGGCGTGCTGCTGAGTCTGGAGGTGCTGCTGGAGCTGGAGCTGGAGCTTCTTCGACCGTCGAGGGTGCGGGTGCTGCCGGTCCCTGGAGCTGCTGGACCTGCGGGTCCTCCTGGAGCTGGAGCTGCTGAGGGCGTTGGTGCTGAGCCTACTGCTGTTGGTCCTGCCGCTGGAGGTGTGGGTGGCGCTGGTGCTGTCGCTGAGGGTGCTGGTGCTGTCCCTGCTGAGTCTGGAGCTGCCGCTGCGGCCTCGGCCGTACTTCGTTCCGCTCCTGCAGCAGGTTCTTGGTCTTTCTCCTCCAGTAGAGGGTCCACCGCCTGTCCAGTCGCAGTCCCTGCTGGAGCCTTCCTCTCCACTGCCTGCTCCCTCTCCTTACACTGGTCCTACTGGAGGTCTTGCTGAGCGTCGTGAGCCTGCGTCTCGTCCCGCGTCGCCTGTTCGTGCTGCTCGCGCTAGTGGTCGCAGTTCGCGTCAGCGTCCTCCTCCTGTCCCTGGCACGCACCGGATGTCTTTGCGTCCGTCCACTGCTCCTCTGCGTGCCCCTTTGCCTTCTCCTCTGAGTCCTCTCTTCCTGCGCTTGCCGACCGTGAGTCGGACTCTCTTCGTGCTGCCAGTCCTACTGTCACGCGTCTGCTTGCTACTGTCGTCACTGACCCCTCTTTTGAGTCCACTGCTGCGTCTGCTCTAGTCGCTGAGCTTCGTCGACTTTGCTGCTCGCTGTCGTCTCGACTACGCTGCTAGTCTTGTTGCTGAGTCTGCGTCTGTCTGTCCTCCGTCCGTCGGGGGTGAGTGTGCTCTTGGCACGGACGTCCTAGAGGACAGGCAGGAGGAGTTACAGTGTCTAGCGGCTGCTTCACCTCATCTCGCGTCTGTACTGCTTGCCCCTGAGGGAGACCCGGATGCACTAGACATCCCGACTCCGCGTTCTTACGCGGAGGCCGTAGAGGGTCCCTACTCCTCTTAGTGGCAGGCAGCTATGGATGCAGAGATGGCTTCCTGGAAGTCCACAGGCACCTACGTTGACGCGGTTCCCCCTCCTGGGGCGAACATCGTCAGTGGCATGTGGATCTTCAGGGTGAAGCGGCCGCCGGGCTCTCCACCTGTCTTCAAGGCACGGTACGTTGCTCGTGGCTTCAGTCAGCGGCAGGGAGTTGACTACTTTCAGACCTTCTCTCCCACCCCGAAGATGACCACTCTTCGGGTGCTGCTGCACATAGCCGCTCAGCGCGACTACGAGCTTCACTCTCTCGACTTCAGCACTGCGTTCTTGCAGGGTAGCCTGCACGAGGAGATCTGGCTTCGCCGTCCACCTGGCTTCACTGGGACTTTCCCTCCTGGCACCCAGTGGAGCCTCCGACGGCCAGTCTACGGTCTCCGCCAGGCACCGCGTGAGTGGCACGACACACTGAGGACTACGCTTGCGGCTCCTTGGGTTTGCTCCTTCTACTGCTGACCCGTCGCTGTTTCTTCGCACCGACACTTCCCTGCCGCCGTTCTACATCCTCGTGTACGTCGACGACTTGGTCTTTGCCACAGCGGACACTGCTGGACTCGCCTACGTGAAGTCCGAGCTGCTGAAGAGACACACGTGCACAGACCTGGGTGAACTGCGCAGCTACCTTGGCTTGCAGATCACTCGGGACAGAGCACGCCGCACCATTACCTTGACTCAGTCACACATGGTGCAGCAGGTCCTTCAGCGCTTCGGCTTCACGTACTCCTCGCCTCAGGCCACTCCTCTGCCTACTCGCCACTCACTCTCAGCTCTGCCTTCGGATGAGTCCGTAGAGTCGAGTGGTCCGTATGCAGAGCTTGTTGGCTGCCTCATGTACCTGATGACCTGCACACGACCTGACCTTGCATACCCTCTGAGCATTCTTGCACGCTATGTTGCTCCTGGGAGACACAGACCAGAGCACATGGCTGCAGCTAAGAGGGTATTGCGCTACCTGTGCAGTACGTCGGGCATGGGGCTAGTGCTTGGAGGGCGGAGTCCAGTGGTCCTTACCGGCCACGCGGACGCTTCTTGGGCTGACGACCAGGCTACGCAGCGGTCGTCACAGGGTTACACCTTCAGCCTTGGTTCCGGCTCTGTCTCGTGGCGGTCTACTCGCTCGTCTTCGGTTCTCGGCTCCAGTTGTGAGGCTGAGATCTACGCCGGGGCCATGGCTGCACAGGAGCTTCGCTGGCTCACCTTACCTGACTGACTGACCTTGGAGAGCCGCCTCGTTCTCCTCCAGTGCTGTACGTAGACAACAAGGCCATGCTGGCCTTGTGTCGAGAGCAGCGCTTGGAGCACAGAACGAAGCACATTGCTCTCCGCTACTTCCTTGCTCGTGAGCTGCAGCAGCGTGGTCAGTTGCGACTTGCGTACGTGGCCTCCTGAGGCCAACACTGCTGATGTGTTTACCAAGTGCACTCGCGCCTTGTGACCTTGTATCAGCGTCTTTTGCACCCACTGTGTGGTCTGTGTGCACT